TTGGTGCCCATAGCACGTACAGGCCGCATATAGATCTTCCTGTTGTATGTTCTATACACGCTAGATCTATGTCTGTACGTGAAGAGCCTCGGCTCTCTATGGCACCACCAAGGTAGTTCTTGGTCGCGCGAGCAACTATTAGCTGGTAAGCAAAAAAAAATAAATTTTCATTCGAATTCATTTCTGCTTGTTTCGTTTTAGTTCCATTCAACTTTTCAATTCAATTCAATTCAAATGTAAGTATAATTATATTTTCATTTCTGTTGTTTTATTTTTTTGTAACTTTTTTTTTTGATTTTTAAAATAAACATTATTCAAATAACTCAAATTTTTTTCTTTTCACTTTAACTTCAACAATAAAAGTTTTTATGTTAACAATAAATTATTTCAAAATAACTCAAATTTTATTTTACATTTGAATAATACAAAATATTCTTTTCATTGAAATAATTCAAATTTGTAAAAATAATACAAATTTTCTTTTCATTCAAATAATACAAAATTTATTTTTTCAATTAAATAATACAAAATTTCATTTAAGTAATACAAAATTTATTTTTCATTTGAGGAATAAAATATTTTCAAAATAACTCAAATTTTTTTTTCATTTCACTACTAAAATTAATTAATTTTTCTAATAAATATTTTTATGAAAATAATACAAAATTTTATTTTTTCATTTAAATCATAAATATTTTCAAAAACACAATTTATTTTTTTCACTTTAATAATTAATATTTTTTTGCGAAAAATAATTTTTATTTAATTCATTTCTTTTCATTTAACAAATAAATAAATAAAAGAAGAAGAAGAAAAGAAACATATGACGTAATTTTATATTTTTTTCTTTTCTTTGAAGCGAAAGAGTAAAAGAAAATTTCTTTTTTTCTTGTTCATTTATTTCAAAGTATAGAAAAAGAAACGAACAAAGAAAAAACAATTCACAAGTCTTATTCGATAGAAAATCGTTGAACACGATGATTACCATTATCGACGACATAGAGATTACCATGTTGATCGAAAGACAAACCAGCGGAACCGTTGAACTGATCTGCTCCTTCTCCTCGACCATTTCCACCCGCAACTACAGTGCCTTGTTTCTGGTCTCCTTGAGTCCAACGCATTACACGATGATTCCGCATGTCTGCTACATAGAGTGTACCCAATGTATCAACGAATATTCCATTAGGAAAAGACAATTGTGTCAGAGCATTCCCTTCGCCTTGTCCTCCAGCAACCACAATACCTTCTTTTGCACCTTTATTCCATTTCATTACACGATGATTGTAGTTGTCTGATACGTAGACATTCTGTTGTCGATCGACAAAGAGATATGCGGGAAAGTTGAGTTGATTGAGACCATTACCTAGTCCATTTCCACCAGCTACGAGAGTGCCATTCTTCTCACCCAATTGATATCGTCTTACTTCACCTTTTTCGACATCAGAGACGTAGAGATATCTCCGTTCATCCAAAGCTAATCGCCAACACCAGATGTTGTCGATGAGTATTTCACCTTGTGCTGTGTCACTATACGAGACCACACCGTAAACTAGAAAATTACTTGTAGAATTTAATCAAGGATATTCCAGGAGTGCCTATATGAATTCACCGATGAATTTTTAAATTCTTGAAAATAAGATATTCAAAAGATAAAAAAATATGAACTTCGATTTTCTAATTGGAAAATCGAGAGTGACTTCATATAGGCATTCCTAGA